TGACCGTTCTCTGCTCCTACCCCAAAGGCTGGCAGTTCAAACCCACTCAGCAGTGCCACAGAAGAAAGTCCTGCTAATCGAGAGGCACCTCCATCAGATACGGAGGAATCGCTAATGAGGCGGATTGAGGACCAAACACCAGCAAATCCCTCTCAGCACGTTGACAGTCACTGCCAAGGCACGAAGCTTGTTCGAGAAGCTTAGAGAAAAGTAGGACAGGACTAGAAGGTGGTGTCCGCACGGCGTCCACTTCTCAGAACGTATCGTGGACGGTAAGCGACGCTCGGCCGTGGTAGCCTGACAACATCCTATGAAATGGGTCCCGTTGTCCCCATGTTGCGGACAGGACACAGAGACTCACTCAGGTTGAATAATTGCCTAGAGTCCCACGGGCAAGTCAATGTTAGTTATTCACGTGTGTCTTCGAACCCCTTTTTTAGTTTGCTTGTTTCTTGCTTGGGGATATTCTTCGATGATGACGTCGACCTGAGATTCTCTGCCACAGGCCTTAACCAGCACACTGCAGCCAGCCACCCCAGGGAACCTTCCCCCGTCAGTTCTGCCCCGCAGAAGGGCCACAGCCTCCCCCTCGACTCTAGCCCCCACCTCCATCCGTGATTTCCCGCCCGGCACAGAGATGGCATCGCTACTCACCAGCTCATGGGCTCGTCACAGCTGAATGCCAGCAGGTGAAGGCGGGCTTGGCGCTGGTCTGAGGCTTTGGCAGCCTCGGGACTCCACGTGGTGGGCCATGGTGGATGAAGCGGTCTTCAGCGCCTCTCAGGAAGCCGCGTGAGTGGCCATGACACTCGCAGCAACAATGCCTTCCTCGTTCTCCGCGATGCGTTAAGAGTGGAGCTGAGTCCTGAATGCACCGGGCTCCGTCTCCACACAGCTTGGCGACAACAGGGAAAGAGAGCCAGGCACTTCAACTTAGACTCTGCGACCCCCGCCTCCAATTCAAAAACAAAACAAACTAGACTCTGAATCCCCCCGCCTCAAATTTAAAAAAAGACAAACTAGACTCTGAATCCCCCTGCCTCAAATTAAAAACAAACAAAACAAACCTGCAGGCACGGAGTCAATTTCAACTCGTAGTGACCCCATGTGTGTCAGGGTAGCACTGAGCTCCGGTAGCGTAGTGCCTAAGGCACTTGACTGCTAACCAGAAGGCAGGCGGTTCAAACCCACCAGCCACTCCTGGGAAGGAAGGTTGGGCAATCTACTTCCATAGTGATACTGCCTCGGAAACCCAAGGAAGGCTCACTAAGAGTCGGGTCCGACTTGATGGCACACAACAACAATCATTACAGAAGGAGCCCTGGTGGCATAGTGATTAAGTTCTTCGCTGCTAACCGAAGATTGGAGATTCAAACCCACCAGTGGCTCATAGGAGAGAAGACCTGGTGATGGGTTTCTGTAAATATTAGGAAACTCTCTGGGGCGGATCTACTCTGTCACGTGGGGTTGGTGTGAGGCGAAAGCCGACTTGATGGCCCCCGTCACCGGCAACGATTTGAACCCCTGCCAACCTGTTCTCGTGGCCTGCACGCTGCCCCGTCTCACTGTCCCTCTTTCCCTCTGTCCTTTATCCCAGTCCATCCAGGGCCAGCGTGCACTCTCTGGCTTCCAGTTCACCAGCGGAGGCTGTCGGGTCCACTGTGCTGAGCCACGAAGGCTCCAAATGCAAAGAGGTCATGCATTCATTCAACAAACATCTCCCCGGAACCTCTACATGCTGAGCCGGTTCTGTGTGCTTTGAGGGGAGAGCAGGGGAGGGGGACACACGAGATCCCGGGCTTTCTTGACGTTACGTTCTACTCGGGGGACGTAACATGGACCAATGAAGCGGGTCACACAGGGGTCAGCGTGCGTCGGAATTGACTGGACAGCACCTTGCAGCAAGTACACCTGGGCACTGCGATCGGTGGATGTGCACGGCTGCCACCTGGGAGTCCGCCGAGAGGCGCCTCAGGACACAGGCCCAGCGGCCTAGTTCTCAAACAGCAGCCGTTGAAAACATGACGGCCCGCAATCCTCTGCCACACACGGCATCATCGCGAGGCAGAACTGACTTCACGGCAACCAGTTTGGTTTTATAGGGAGTTAGACTGAGGTGAGCTCTGGAGAGAACAATGACGCGGGGGGCAGCGGGTAGAAGGTGTGTGTGGGGGGGTTAAGGAGTGCTGCCATTTAAAGAGAGCGGTCACCAGGCCTCTCTGAGAAGGGGACCTTCCAGCAAAGACTGGAAGGAGGGGAGGGAAGGAATCATGAGGCTATCTGGCGGAAGAGCCTTTGAAGCACCTTAAACAGCTCGTGCAAAGGCCCGGAGGCAGCCAGGACTTGCTCCAGGAACTGCAAGGACGCCAGTGACGTGGAGGGGCACAGAGGTGAAGTCAGGCGTGACAGGCCGTGTCCTTTCAGGCCCCGTGAGGCGGCGGCTCTTATCTGAAGGGTAAAGGGGCGGTGGCCGATTGTGAGCAAAGGAGTGAGGAGAGCTGAGTCAGGTTTCTGCAGGAGCAGGTGTTCAGTCCAGACTGGGGGAGGGAGGACAGAAGTGCGGAGGCCACTGAGGTGGCTACTGCAATAGCCCAGGTAAGTGGTGGGGGCAGGAACCTGGGAGGGAGGTGACTGATATTGGGAAAGACTAGCAGAGGCTCCCGCACTGGAGGCCTGGGCTTGGAGTCCAGCGGTCTCGCCTATTTCCTGCATGGATGACCTTCCACTGTTTTTACATCCTTTTGGGTAGAGCCCACTGCCCTGGAGTGCATGCTCACAGCGCCCCTAGAGGACAGAGTGGAACTGCCCACAGGGTCTCCAAGGCTGTCAATCTTCACAGAAGCAAAGCCCAAACCACACCCACTGCC